TAAAGTCCTGCTCAGGATCTGGTGCACAATACCTCCCATGGTTGATGCATTGGGACTTGCATTGTTTGCTTAAAATAAACGCCTCAGGGCAATACCAAGTTATGTAATGCGGAGTAAATTGAGTGTATCCTTTTTGCTCAAGTATCTGGGCAGCTCCTTTGAAATTTTTAACAAAATCAATCTGGCTTTCACACTTGGGCCCACACTCATCATTACTGTTTGTCCAGAATTCATACTCAACTCGATCATCAGGATGTGGAAGAGCCTCCCTCCAGTCAAGATTTATGCTAACCATCTCCCCCTTCGACAGTTCTTTCTTGATTTTGTCCCCAAGAGATTTGCTAATAAGAGCTGACGGAATGGTTATGCTCTGAAGATAATCCGCTTGTGCATCCTCCTCCTCTGGGTTGTCCATAGTAATTAGGGGCTCATCTCTGTCGTCTGCAACCAGAATAGCTGCTGCTCCAGCCTTCTGAGCATTCCAAGCCTTCAGAGTAAAATAACAATCTTCGAAACCCAACACCAAAAAAAGGGAAAACATAAGGAGAATTCTAAGGTAAATACTAGAAATACTATGCATTATTTCTTACATCGTAAATTTTTGTTTGAAGCATTTATCATGGCAAAAGATAGGCCATTTAAGAACAACCTGAGCACATTTACACTGTAATAACAGATCTGTACCAAAACACACAAGACAGAAAATGAAACAGACAAATAAGGGGACGCACATTATTTATATCCGTTTGTGCAATCAGCGCTCCGTTCACAATTCATTCATCAACATGTGCATATGAGATAAATAAGCTACAAAGTAACAGGAAATTAGTGGCATTTGATGACTAAATTATCTGGCTGGAAGCTGAATCATAATCTTTCATTCTTAGTACTCTCTGAACATCGCATGCACTCACTAAGTTTGTTTGACTTTTGCAATTACTCTATGCAGCACCGCAAGCGAGGCCGTTTACTCAAAAAGTAAAATAGAAATAAATCATTCAAAAACAATGACCAAAAGCGCACCAACAAAAAAATTTTAATTCCCACAAACATAATCAGACATAATGGAGTTATTCATCCGAAAAGAAGAAAATTGAAGTTGAGAGGCGATCCCCCCCCCCCCCCCAAACATAAAATAAAAAACAAAAAAAAGGGTAAAACTGAAACAAGAAAAAAGAGCTGGCTCACCCCCTCGATCAGCGAGAAGGAAAGTGGGCATGCCTCCAGGCTTGGATTTGAAGGAGATATCGACGTCATCAAAACTCTTGCAAGCCTTTTGATCAGCTTTAGGGTAGACCACAGTACCAATCATGGTTCCTCCATACTGAGGGACCCCAAAATTCCCAATTGCACATTCGTAAACTTGTTTCAGGGAGTCGGGGGAGGTGATTTTTAAGCTGTTCTTCTCCACGACAAATCTCCCCGAACAAGACCCCAACAAAAATAGAAACCATAACAAGTACACAACAAGAGAGCGTCCTAGCATTTCCCTCATCATCGTCGATTCCAGAAAAAGACGCCAAACTTAAAAACACGAAAACCCCGGATCAAATCCGATGCTTTCTTTGTTAGTATTTGTCGCAGTACCCAAAATATCAAGAAGGTCGATAACCTAATAAATCACAAACCAAAGTATCGAGCTTTAGGCCAATTTGATGCGAACCCAGATCAGAAATGTCGGCGATTCAGTATAAAGATCAAATCCTTGATGACTCAACCCAGTTGAGAAGTATAATTTTGCGCTGAATTTTCTGAGGCTTAAAAAAGGGAAGAAGTGGGGGAAATAAAAAAGAGAGAAGAACAAAAAAAAAAAAAAAAAAAAAAGGGTTAAGCGGTCCTTTTTAAGAGATTGCGACGAGAAAAGCAAACGAACGAGGGGAGGAAGGAATAAAATGAAAAGAGAAGGGACTGGGGAGAGTTGAATTGTAGAGGGGCAGAGGAAGTTGGGACTACTCCTTAAGTTGCTTATTCCAAACAGTCGATGGGAACAAGTCAGTACTACGTAGGAGACGAGCAGCCCCTTCGATGATGAGGAAGAGGATAATCTATCACTTGGCCACTTGTCGCCATTCGCACGACAAAAACAAAAATAAAAAAATATATATATACTAAAATGAAAAGTCTAGTCTCGCTTCTTCTTTGCTAAGGAATCATTTCTTGTCTGGACACCCAAAAATAAATAAAATAAAAACAAATCATTAGTAGTACTGGGCATGGAGTTAAAATCCATCGATTTTGTAATCCAACTAACAATCGAATCAATTACCGCCTGGCACTGGAGATTCTCTGTTACCCATTTGCACTCTACTTCCCCAAATATTTATAGGGATAATTTCAGCAACCTCCCTGATGTTTCTAATAGTCTCATTCCCCTCCCTTGAGGTTTTCGAAATGTTAGAAACTTCTCCTAAAACTAAATAGACAATCTCAAATCTAATAACTTTCAATAACAATTTGATACTACAAATGCCTCCATTGTCTTGCATTAGTGAAGTTACAGGTAAAAGGCAAATAATAACTTTCAATAACAAATCAGCATATTTGTAACCTCTCACGCGTTTATAGAGCATGCATGAATGAGTGAGCTAAGCACACTGATTTGGCATCTTACCATATGAAGCAACCCAAGTTACACAAGAAACATATAGAATCAACTAAGCATAATAATTTGGTAGAGACCTGACAGATCAAGTCATACGAGAAACAGAAAATTAGCTAAGCATAATTTACCATACACAAACAACAACTATATCAACATAGGCTGTCAAGGAATATTGAAAAATTTCAAAATTCTTAAAGACTAAACTGGTAGAGGTTGAAAGAGCTCATCGAATCTTCAACAACTGTGAGAATCCAGAGCTTTTTATACCATGTATGAAGTTTTCTTTGCCATATATCAACAATTGCTTACAGAGACTAATTGAAGTGACTTGTTGTACCGGGAGCTTTCTAAGCCATGCATCAATCACCAAGTGGCTCTTGAATTTTTCTTCATGACAGACATTCTAGATATTAATTAAAGGAATCTATATTTATAATAACTAACTTGACTAAATTTGTCCAGATAATTACAAAATACCTTGTGCAGGTATTTAAATCTTTTCATCCATGATGATGATGTAAGAAATGGGATCCAGTATTCTATCAGGGAGGGGAGTGAGACTTTCAGAAACCTCAAGGGAGGTTTCTAAAATTATCTCATTTTTATACTAAGTATCCAAGCAATAGATTAGAGGGTAGATTAAACTTTAAGAAATGCAAGTACAAAAGTTATTTTGACTTCTCCTATCATCATCAATTTTCAGGTAAAGCATGCGCCAAGGTTGAAAATTGAAAGTGAGGCTGATAATTTCTAAATAGTTGCCATTTGTGAAATTAGTGTACGATGTAAGTACTAATGCTATCCATATCACGATGATATATACTACTTATGGTAGCACCTTTCTTAACCTGGCTGACTGGGAGTGTGAGTATGAGATTCGCAATTACGGGTACTAATAATAAGCATTATTAGCATTCCAGTTTTAGTTTCTGGCTTTCACAAAAAAAAAAAAAAAAAAAGGCATAGAATAGAAGAGAAGGAACACAACAGTAGTGTTCAGGACATACCCTAATCATCAATGATTAAAACATATAAATAATGATGGCAGGCTACCAGCGAGATATTTGGACCACAACACTTAGCCATGAAAAACGTGCAACCATTTTGGGTGCACGTGGAACGACGTCAACGTCACCACACCAGCGCAACTCCTGCTTTTCTTCTTTGATTTGTTTTTTTTTTAGTGGCTCTCGTTTTTTAACTTTGAAGAAATCTGTTGTATTCTTGATGTTGAATGGGCCAAATGACTAATAATAATTGACTAGACAGAGGCACTGAAGGGTGATAACCCTTCAAAAGCAAGAGTCCACATTCAGTCACGGGATGGTTCTGCTTTAGAAAATGTTGACACCAAATCCTAACTCAAGTGCCCTCTTTATATACAGACAGTGTAGACGACACCCACATATGTGTTTTTACTCAACTTTTGTAGTAAAACTTGATGATATAAGACACATATGTGGGTAACGAGTTATTAATATTAAAACATAGAAAAAATAATTTGCTGAAATGTTACTTATTACCATTAATAGTAGATTAATCATAAGCAGTAATTTATTTATGTAGATTTTTTTTAAAAAAAAAAAAAAAAATCAGTTTCATGGGAGACATAGGGTTTGTTTGGATAAGAATTTATTTGGATGATTTATTTGAAATAATTACTATAACACTTTTTATGATTTGATGTATGTGAGATAAAAAGGTGATTGGAAGATAAGAAGGTGATTGAAATTTGTGAAGCAAATCATTTTATTTCAAAACATTTCAATCCAAACACACCCTATAGAAAAGAATAGAAAAAAGGAGGAGTATACTAGTTTGGCTGGCGGTAGAATGACAACTGCAGTGCTCAAGGAGCTAGTGATAAGTATTACTAGTAATTAATACTACAAAGCAGTGCGAATTAGTAATAGGACAATTTGTGAAGTTATAGTAGCAGTACGCATTGAGAAATAAACAGCATAGAATACTCAATAGTCAATAGTGCGTGTGTGATCATCTGATGGCTAGTGCATATCTTACATATATATAATGACACGACACTGACACTGACACTCGGGCGGGTTGGTACGTTTTTTTTTTCTTCTTCTTCTTCTATTGGAAAGGGAAGTGGCTGCAGCAGCACCAGGGAGGGCAGTGCGGGTCCGCTCGTACGTATCATCAGAAAAAGCAAATTCCAGATTTAATCAGATTCCACGATGTGTAGAGTAGAGAGTGTCCATTAATCAATGTCCACCAAACCAAACTTGAAACTGCTGCCACCACGATTTTTCGAAATTAAAAGAATAATAAGAAGAAGAAAGTGACCTAACACTTGGATGGAGACTTTGAGGTGTGAGGCGTCCATATAAAGTGGCATTACTAATTCAACTAAACTATCAATCCATGAATGAATGAATGTGTTATGTGCTGAAAACTGGAAGCGGCTGGCTAATCAACGTTTCTGCTGTCCCTTCTCTCCATTTCACGGACCGACCGCCTCCGCAAGAAACATAATAAATACTCCGACTAGAGCGTAACGCGCATCTACATCTACATGGGAGCTGCCGGAGTGATACTGTTGTTGGATGTCATATTAGTACCCACAACCCTCTTCCTTACAATCGGCTACCACGCTTATCTCTGGCACAGATTGAGGCATAAACCCTGTCTTGCCACCATAGGCCTCAACTCCATCAAAAGAAGATCTTGGTTGCAACAGCTCAACCAGGCAAGCAAAACCTATTTAGTATATACTCCCAAAACAACTTCTACTGCTACTGCTACTGCTACTATCAGGAGGATTATTAGAGAGTTATCATATCATCCCGTGCTTGCTAGTTATTTTTTTGTCACTCACTCATTTAACCATTACGTGAGGTAGTACCATATATATATATTTTTTTTTACTGCTCTATCTAATACTGGCTAGCGAGTGAAGTTGTAGTACTTGTGTACTATATATAGTCTGTCAGGACTCATTTTTGTTATTTTTTTTTTTGGGTTGGGTTCTTTTCCAAGGTGCAGGGAGATGAGAAGAAGGGGATGCTGGCCGTGCAAAGTCTGAGAAACACATTAATGGCGACTATACTGACGGCTATTGTGACCATTACAATAAGCCTGTGCCTGGCGGCTCTCGCCAATAACTCCTTCAACGGAGCAAATCACCTCCTCCCGAGCCTGAGGTTTCACGAGCCACCGCAATATTCCAGCACCAGCAGTAGTAGTATACTTTTGGGGGGGCTACAATCGGGGAAGATCGTTGCACTCAAGTGTGGGTCGGCGTCCTTCTTGCTGTTGGCCAGCTTCTTGTGCAGCGCGATGGGGCTTGGGTGCTTGATCGATGCCAACTTCTTGGTGAACGCCTTGGGGATGGACAGGGAGTTGTCGTCCTCCCCGGACCCGGAGTACACCCGGAGCATCATGGAGAGAGGGTTCAGGTTGGCAGTGGTGGGGAACCGGGTCCTGTGCATCACCTTCCCCCTACTCTTGTGGGTGATGTTCGGCCCTATCCCTTCGGCGCTCTCCTCTCTGGCCCTTCTTGGGGCACTCTACGAGCATGACTTTCCCGCCACATCTTTATCCTCCAAAATCAACAACAACTAGTACCTCTCTACTCAGTCACTACTAGTACTGACTACCGAGTGAGTGTATTCGTATTGTATCCATGCGAAGAGCCTTCTTCTTTACAGTATCAATAATCGCTAGTAGTAACCATACAGATTTAAAGTTTCATGCCAATCCAAATTTAGAGACCAAGGTGGCTATGTAATTAAATTAAGGAGAATATCTATCTGGGTATCAAAAAACTCAAATTTACTCGTCTGTTGATCATTGAAAGATGAGATACATCGTAGCAGGGATTCAAGAGTCGAGGAATGATTTTCGGAATCATTGAAAGGAAGGGGGAGGGCAATGGGAAAGGCATATGATTGATTGTACTAATTTTACGGTCTGGTCGCTGGTGAGAGGACACAAATGTATTAATTGTCCGTTGATAGTAGTGGTAATAAAATTCATGCTGGCACGCACGCTACGCTCGATGATTTCTGTTAGATACTCAGCTGCCATGAATTGCCTCCAAACCACATGGTTCAAAGTCTTGGCCGAGTTGTCACCGAAAATGATATCTCCGATACGATAACGGGATGAGATGATTCCGAGATACTTGACTCGCCGAAAACTCAATCGAAAAGCTTCCGATACGAATAGTCTCGGTCGAATCATTCCGAGTCAACTAGAAAATTTACATTTTACTGATTTTTTTTCTAATTTTTTATTATTTTTGTTGAACATACTTTTAAATATTATTCATACTTTTTAGAATATTAAATGCTTCAAAATTTGCGTCTCACTGAAATCAATGTGGAACGATCCGGACCGCGACTTTGAACCATGGTGCCAACCTCGGTACGGACTATGCTAGAAAGGAAAGCGCTATTTCATTTTAGTTCAGCAAAATGTTATTTAGTATTCATCCAGTAGTCGTTGTAGTGTTACAAGTATTAATACGGCACCTTTAATAAGCAAAGTAATTAATTAATCACCTTATCATGATATTGACCATGTAGAGGCGTGTGTCTATACACATACGTATTTTTTATATGGTAGAGGATGTAGTGCTTGTATAATATACCTCCTATTGAAGTCATTGGCGGAATCACATGTTTTTTTTCCCCCTCTTTTCCCAAATCATCCTGACTACTGACTACATACTTTTTTAACCCATTTCCCGCTTTCCCATTAGATTCATTTACGAAAACTAAACTACAAAAATTCCTTTTCAGATTCTTCTTCGGCAGAGATTCTTTTTAAGATGGCAAAGAATGACAAAGTTCACAAACACATAACAGCGTCAAGTTACATATCTACAAGTAGCCGTAGAGCTTTACTCCTACAAATGCTACATTTCCGTTGCTAACTCGACAATATTCCACTTCTAACGTATAGGAAGACCCCGGCCCCCCCGCCCCCCACACAAAAACGAGAGAGAGAGAGAGAGAGACTCAGCTTCCACAACATGTCCATATTGCACCATCTGCTTGTCCAACATACAACTTTGATTCATCATCTCTAGCATGTCGCATAACAACAGACTAGAGGGCTTCAAATAAGTCCTCAGTGGGTCAAAAACGCAAAGCTTGGCTTACTAGTATCTTCTTTTTGTCAACCAATAGCCGTTTGGATTATTCAATGGCTTAAAAAGTTCTGGTGGAATGGAAGATTAAGAATTCAAACCTTAACTCCCTTCCATTGTTATACAACAATACAGTGCATTGTATCAACTATTCAACATGCGTAACCAGCACATCTCCGAATGGAATACACGCGCAAAGAAAGAAATTTCAATAATGTTATTACTTGGTTTACCCCGGAAAGCACCCTCTTCAAAGAAGAAGAAGAAGAAGGAAAGAGCGTAAATAAAGATCAACTCCAAAACCTTCTTGACTAGTGTGCTTTGTTGGGAGAATGGATCGGCTAATGCTTTTTTTTTTTTTTAATTGAGCTGGAACCCGTAAGCTCCTCATGCAAAAGGGATCCGTCAGGACCTCATTATCTCCTTCTGGACTTGCTCGCCCACAGAGTACCATTTACAAACAATTACATACCACTTCATTCTCTCCTGACTGGGAGTTTCAGCTAAAAAGCACTCTTTCTTTCTTTATACTAGGTTGTTTAAGATTGAAACGTCGGCCTTTGGTGTACGCAAACAGTTTATCTAAGCTCTTTTAACACAACTTGTGATTTTAAATTACACTACTGTACACTACACCTCTCTCTCTCTCCCCTCGCCCCACCCCCAACCCCCGGGGAGGGCTAAATTTCCCTTTGCCCCAACTTAAGAAAATTACCTAAATTTTGATCCCTCATAATCAGCATTGCATCTCACTTGAGCCAACAGCCCCACCTACTAGGCATTAGCATGGTTTTCAACTGCGTTCTCCTCAATCCAGTCCTAGCCCTCATCTGGACGATCACACGTCCCTTTGGTGTGAAACAAGCCTAAAATTTTCATAACCATATTTTGTGAGCAGTGGTTTTATGTGACCTGGCAAGTGGCAACAGGTCCACCAACTCATCTGAAACATTCAAAAATCAAAATCATCAGGATTTTCCTGTAGGAAAAGGTTAGCCCATCAAAGCTTATGCAATGGAAGCAACAATTTCTGTAGAGTCTATAGGAGGTCAATTTCCTCTACTTATCCCTCTAATATCAGGCATCAAAGTTCAGAACAAGTGCCAAAAATAAGATACAGTAAACCAATTCCAAACGTTGAAAAGAGGGAAGAGAGGGAAGACAGACGTGTACATACATGCACAGTCATACATAAAAAAAAACTACAGAACATGTTAGTTATCATAACAAGGTAGTACTTGTCTAAATGACCTGGTCCACCACATTTCCATGCTTAGTAATGCTGTTTCTAATAGGAGTTTCCTAAAACTTCATGGCGAAAGAGGTACTAACTCCTGTCTGGACAATGACACTGTAACAAATCCCTTCAATTGATCTAAGGGCTGTGTATGAGAATCACCAAAAAGAGACCTATAGGTTCAGTTGTGCTTGGCCAAGGAACCTTCTCAGTGGATGGATTTTTTGAGCTCCCATCACTTGCAATGTCACCCTTATCATGCAGATAGAACAGGAAAAGGTCAATATCAACTGCTACGAGACTGCAGAGTTCCCACTTCAGTTCACATTTCCATTACTTGGACCCAAAGGGAAATATATTCTGCACACATTTGCTTTTGTGAAACCTTTTCCCCAGTCATGATGATTCAATAAATGCAAGCGAACTATACTTTCATGCATCACTCCTAGTCATCCAAAGTTCAGATCTTAAACAACTGAGGAATCTAATGAAATTAATAACAACATTTCAATCCGCCAAGAACTTATTGGCAATGATTGACTACGACTGCCTCCCTTAGGTGTGCACTGACCAACATCTGAGGAAGCAATTGTAATATAGACCAACCATCATATAAATGCTTGATTAAACACTTGCAATGAGAAAACCCAAATTCCTGTTCATTCAATACAATCTTGGACCTATGAAATCAAACTAAATAATAAAAGAAGTAGATCACTGAGGTTGTGGAAAATAATATTATACAAAGAAATATGCTTGTCTTAGCATATGAAAATAAATACATGGGTACCCAAAATACATATGCAGACCCATAATGGGGAATATCCTACAAACAGTACTACCACATTGCCTAAGAATGGTCAAACACACTCTGCCTACTTTAAACACTGGTTTAGGGATAATAAACTAATAGAAACATGTTTGGTGTCAATATAGAAAAGTTATCCTATAAATATATATAGGTTTCAAACTAGCTGCAGTTCTAAAAACACATAAATAATAGACCAGTTTAGATGGGAATCACCATGTTTAATGCTGTGTTAGTTAACTAGTTGTTTAATCAGTGTTAGGTTTTGCCGTGGAAGTGATGACATAATTGCATAAATACTGTTCTCCATGAGAAAGGGTTATGACAAAACTAGATATTTGCTCTTACATCACCTTTTCTCTGGAATTCCATGGGTAAAGCCACATATGCAACAAATGGAAGAGAAGCTCTATCAAAACAAGGTTAATTGACCCAAGAGATGACAAGTCAGCTTGAGCCTTGATCTCGCCTTGATCCAAGATAACAAGGTCTCTTTCCCAGTATCTCTGCTTCTCTAGCAATCATGATATCTGAAGGCCAGAAAGTTTGATATATAACTTTAAGAACAAAGCGGGGAAGCAATCCGAGAACTGTTATAAGCAAAATGGAGAGCCAATACATAGGCGACTTTGCCAGATGGTATATTGTGCTGCAAAGATACAAGTGAAAAGGTCTGAGACTATAGAATGCCAGAGATGTAATTGTCCGTTGTGTAATTGGCAACTATGAGATTGCAGATAAACTAACCCGTAATTGGCGAATGTAGGTATAGAATCCAATACCAAAACACAGCCATAAGTGATGAGTATTGAACCCCATACGGAAAGGTGAGTGTATATTACCCATCGCTGAACATCCATTGCCAAGTGAATATTAACAAGGATAACAACAGCAACAGTCCACAAGCTACCCATACTCCAAATGTCAACACTGCTGTCCTTATAGGTGAACAAAGGCACATAAAAAAGAACAAGGCTCTGCCACAGTGTGTCAATCATTGTGAGCCAGAAGAGGCGCATATTGTAACTCTCCTGTCTGTGGCCTGCAGCGTAGAGTTTAGGATACTGGAGTAGTGTCTTACAACTTAGATCCTTGTCAAGAATACCAACAACAATTGTAGGCACAGAAGTATAGATAACAGAATAAAATACACTACTCCAGTCTGTCAAGGCAGAGGTAGTCGAAAATGCTGTGCACAATATATACCTGGAAATTGTAGCAAAATGAAGGTAACTAAAGGATGTCCTGTATAGCAAGAGCAATCATCCAGACAAGAATCAAGAAAAATCATAATGATGGCAGTCATTCCAACCATGAAACTCAAGAACATAACGCACGATAAAATAGTCAACACAGTGCGGGGAACACCCGATCGCAAGCAATTTAACAAATCATGACAATCCTACTCCATTAGCATTTTCCAAACCCTAGTCCGAACTACCACAGCCCCCTTTCCTCCTTTTTTATCAGAAAGCATATGGAAAAGATTAGTCAAATGAATAAGAAAGCATTTAACAAATCTAAAGATTAGTTATTTGGAAAGAAACAGTAGCCAATTGATCCACACCATTGATGTGAGTAATAATTGGCAATGGAAAAGTAAAAAAGCATCACAAAAAATCAATTAAAATTTTCCCACAATTAGGAAAAAGTAAGCATATGCAGCAGGTCAGCTTTCACAAGCTTGTTCTGTCAAATACTCTTTAAGCTTGTTACCAATTTTCTCAGAAGTTATTATGAAGATAGTCAAAATTTTGAAGAAAAAAAATTATTTCTGAACAGGGACTTCAATATATTGATGGAAAGGACAAGAAGAACACAACACACAACCAAGAGAAACTTGACACACCAGAAAAGCATGAGTACAAAAACAGCATTTCGGTAGAAGTTGTAGAGAACCAAAAAACCAATCCGTTGATAATTCCAATGCCCATGCACCAAAAGCAAGCGCTTCAGAAAGCGAAACTGTCCCATAGCAAAATCTGATGCCATCACTGCTTGACGCCCTTCCTGACCGCATATTCCAACACCAACATCCGCCATTTGGATCATGGAAACATCATTTGCCCCTGCCAAAAAAGAAAAAATTGGATCCAGGCACAAGCGAATTAACCTAAATGGTTTAATTATTCTGGTAGGCCTTGCTAAGACTTTGGAGCTTTTACTTACCTTTTCTATCCTCCTACAAAACCTATCCTATCCAACCTAAATTAAAACACCACACAGGAAAAGCAGTTAAGACTACCTTGATCGCTAAATTCAGTCTTGCAAAGCAAAATTATCAGTTCCCATGTAGAAACAAAAAACTAAACAAGTAAACACACAATCTCCTGTGACTGATAATTCGGTTCCACAGCACAAAAATTAAAACCAAAAAAGAAATTATCTTAAATAATCAACTCACCATCACCTATTGCAAGAGTCATATCATCAGTCCGACTCTTAATTAGGTCAACTATCCCAGCCTTTTGCAGAGGCGCAACACGACAGCATAGCACAACCCTACATGCAGTTGCAATGTCGAATAACTGTAGAAACATTAGCAACAATACCAAGTAAGATAGCATTATGAGAGTAGTAAGCAAATTTCCGACTCACGAAACTGTCCATAGAACTCAAGGAAATCTGAAAATAAACACTAAAAATACAACATGGTCAAAACTTCACACACAACTGAAAATATCACATTAAATCTTTAAAAAGATCAAGAAGAATTCATACCTCAGATTCCAGATCCTTCTCCAATATGTATACCAGGCTACTCCCATCAATTATGAGAGCTAAAGGTGCATGTAAAGATCCTTCTTCCAGTCCACCGTGCTGCTGGGGAGAGTTCGGAAACTTCATATCAACAGGAATCTCAAGGTAGTCTCTTTCTGCATCTCTTGTCCATTTCAAATCCTGGTTATTGCGATATTTCAAAACATATTTGGCCTTTGCATCAAACAAGAGTTTTCTGCATTCATTTTCTGAATTTCCATTTATTATAATCTGTTGCATTTCTGCCGTCAATAGCTTACAAGAAAGACCGATCGAAATTGCAGTCTCTTGCTTATCTCCAGTAAGTACCCACACTTTTATTCCAGCCTGTCGCAGAGACTCGATAGCTTCCGGAACACCTTCTTGTAGCTTGTCCTCAATAGCTGTGGCACCAAGAAGAGTTAAGTTGCATTCAATAAGTGATGCTGTCTGACGCAGCTTTATAGTTCTGTCAGTCAACGATGTGCTAGCATCTTGGTACATGCATTGCCACTCCTTAAGCTCTTCGCTTGAAAGATTCCTGGAAGCAACTACGAGGGTACGTAAGCCTTCAGATGAATATTCAGTCAAATGACTCTGAGTTGCATGTCTTCTATGATCATCCGTTGCAGCATCTTTCCTTAAGATGCTGAACATCGACGTATCAGCCCCTTTCACCAATACCTTGACATCATTATTTGGAAATCTGATAACCACAGACATTCTTTTACGCACACTGTCAAACTCATGCAAACCCAGGACATCCAACCTGCACTATCCATGGACATTATAAGATAGACTAAGCTACAAAAACAAGATTAACCTAAATGAGAAGGCCAAAAAATAAGAAGGCAAAAAAGAAACACAGTAGTTGTAGAAAAAGACCACAATACGCATAAATAGAAAAGAAGTCAGGGGTAGTTGACATCTATAATTGGACAAGGTTTGGGTAATAGAGACTTAATCTTGGTAACCCAAGTGCAATAGCGCATTCCATCTATTTATGTTCTTAATACCAACAGTCAATGACAGTTTGACATCGAAGGTGGCATCTAGAGAGCCCAAACAACCCCACTTTTCAGAAAGAGATTGGTACTTGGCAGGGCTAATTTGCCATCTGCCTATTCTGGGGTGCTTATAATCAACTCATTGTAATTTTCTTTAAAGCTAGAAGCTTTTTGAGATGGTCTTCTTTACTTTTGACTTCTCATTTATTATAAGCCGATTATGCAAAGCAGGCCTTGAGGTTTAATCACAGCTTTAGCTTTTAAAAACACCTAGAAGGAGAAAAATGCTTTCAATTTTTTTTCAACACATTGTCAGCAATCAATAATTCATAATCAGCATAAAATGTCGAAAGCAACCAACAACAGGCCATATTTGCACTTGCGAGGTCATGGAAATGAATTTAGACCCAACTCAAAAATGGCTTATTAGCATTGGAGGTCCAGTTAGAAGGTAGCAACACCTAGCCAGAGAAAGGTAATTATGATAAACTTCTGACTGCAAATCACACATCTACGTTACCAAAGACAAATACACACGTCAGAAATCAAATAATTCATAATCAGCATAAAAAAGCTAAAAGCAACTGATAATAGGCCCTATTTATGAGTGTGAGGTCATTCTTCTTAGGTATGAGTGACAAGTCACCACAACGTAATCCTTCTTCACATGGGAAAAATGTTATACCCAGCTGAAGATGGCTTAATAGAATTAGAGGTCCAGTTTGAAGATAGCAACACCTAGCCAGAGAAACAGCAATTATGATGAACTTCTGACCAGGAGTCATAAATCTATGTTACGAAAGTCAAATTCACAACACACCATGTTGAGCTTAACTTGAAAGTTTGAAAGTGTAACAAGTTCAAATTTTCTCCACCTTGCTAAGTGAAAGAAGCATCACTTCAGTGCAATTAAATCTGCAGCTCAGAGCAAGGGAACAATCAACTAGAAAAATAAGCAAGGCAGAGAGAAAACAACAAATTTTTTTTTTTTCGCCTGCCACACAATTTAGGAGGGCTCAATATTGCATCTGAATTCATATTGTCAACAAAACCTAAGACCATTCATGTTTTCCCAGTCATCCAATCCAATTTACCCTCAATATGCATAGAGATTAACCATTTCCTCCATTTTACATCTCACCATCTACTTTTCATCTTATGAATTTAGAACCCTTGAAGAATGCAGACCATCATTAACAAATGAAACTATATCAGACAGGCATAATTCAAACACCTAAAATATGGCAGAGACTACAAATGATCAAAAAAATTAATTAGCTCTGAAAATACAGCATAAATGAATACGCAAAGTAGCAAGGGGGTGAGAGTATTTGGCAACACCACAAACACCAATCAAATTAGAGTTTTAAGACAGTGTATGGCATGTTCAGAGCAAAGACCCTCGTTCTTTTAATCTTCAACATTCTTTTAAAAGGCAACATAAGACCAAACATATTAACAAATAAACTTCTGGGGCAGAAATGGTCACCATTATAAAAACAGGTAAAAGAAGAAACCTGATTTGAGCAAGTCCTCTACCTTAGTTTCTCACCATTCACATCAATCACAATATGCCCAGATGTCCTCTCGAAAAGAGTATAACCATAAGCAGAAGCAGCAGCAACCAAGGCTTGTTCATCAGGTGACTCACCCTGATAATCAATGGTCACAACATTGTCACAACAGTCACTTTCTGCTTCGCTTGAAGATGGACTACGAGCAAGAATAGGAATCACAGTGTTACATGCTGACAGTGTCAGAAAAAACTCATGCGCAAATGCTCTTTCCTCACTTGACAGTTCTTTATGCAACAATTCCAGTAGTTCAAAATCAGCAGTAATTTCTGATTTAAGCTTCCATCTTCTTCGGCCCAGGAGGGCTGACTTTCGTTCCCCTGCAGAAGTTCATTGAAACAAAATATACAATCATTTAGAGACAACATTAAGCACACACTACTGAAATAAAATTCTGTTCAAACATAATGATTAAATTTTTCTGATCCCCGAAAGAGAGGTCAGAAAGAACCACAGGATAAGCTGCAAGTCAGGTGAGCCTCCTTTCCATAGCAGCAAAACTACTGGTCAGCCCAAAGATGATAGAGAAAGGATCCCAAGCAAATTTTATAAGTTATACATCAAGAAGGTTGCAAAGTTCCATATGACATAGAGATTTTAGCAAGCCCCATTACAAGCAATTAAATGAAGATAACTGAACAAGGTAAATTATAAGGTTAAACTATTATATCCATTTACCATGGCATGTTAGCTAGACCCCTACTCCCCTGCGTAATACTGGATATTAGTTGTCATTTAGCAAATAGCACAAACTAAGCATATATGGCTTCTCCAAGCAAAAGAGAAGCTCCACACAGCACATAAATTTCCACAAAGCATTACTATAGCAATCAGGGAAAAAACATAGAGGCGTAAATTTCATTAAGTCATACACAGAAGATTTCACAAATTCAAGTTTAAAGAATATTCAAAAAGGTCCAAACGAAGGCAATAGCTCCTATAAGTGCAGGTCTAGTATTCATTACGCCACTTATCATTATCAGGCATGCTACCTCCTAATCCGATTGCTCCAGGACTCAAACATTCAGGTCAAATGCATATTGAAAGTACCCTTTTCACAGAAAAATTAACATATTGAACATAAAGCACTTTGAATAATTAAATTTCTATGAATTCAAAACATGCATTCACATACTATCTTGGCCAAAAAAAAAAGGAGAATGACATAATAATTAGAAAAAGTTCAACAAACTTAGGTATGTATTCAGAACATAAATCACATGTATTAGTTATACCTCCTATATTGGTGCCCTCCAATGTCCCAGTCATCGAAAGGGACCTGCCATAACTTTTCCCGCAAACACTCGCTCTTCTGAATTCCATCCTGTTTTCAGTAAGTGTTCCCGTCTTATCAGAAAATACATAGCGGATTTGACCTAAATCCTCATTAATATTTAAGGATCTGCACTGGAACCTTGAACCGGAGCTATTATCATACATATGCCTGTCACCAATCATGAAATATGACTGTCCTAACCGAACCAGCTCCATGGTGATGTAGAGAGATATGGGTATCATTATCTGGAAAACTATTATAGAACTCAAAAAGGAGAAGAAGGCCTCCATCGGAATCCCATAAAATTTGTATGGCCTGCCAGGAGATTTTCCATTTGGAAAGTAAGTCCTCCTGTAATAAGGTAATGTATCAAGCTGATTCTTATGGCGTTTAAGCCACAGACCCATCCCTATTCCAACAACCAGGCACATGGTTAAGAGGAAAACAGACAACCAAAAAGTTTCTCGATTCATGTAGGTCTCCAATCTACTCCTTTTAGATGGAGATGAAGCACTGTTTAGCATAGCTTTAGTCTCCTGTCCGGCATAAACCACCACGCCAATTACCCATTCTGTGTTCTTCAGCTGACAGCCACGCAAAATGATGTTTGATTGGGTTAGTGGGAACCTTTGGCCCTTTATCTCCATGTTGGCTGTGAACTCATATATATTCCTGTTAGGTTGTTCGCATCTAATAACCCCAGAAATGGTAGTCCCTTCAAGAACTAACTTACTTGTTTCTTGCCTAGCATACCGGGTCTTCAGGTTTGACTCCCCATCCAAGTTCATTGTCTGTATATAAGCAATTCCACTTGGATCACTGGTCCCAAGCAGCACCACATCACAAGGAATGCTCTCATCAGCACAGATCTTCACAACCTCACCAGCCTGCATCTTTTTCCATCTCTTATGTTGGAATTCACTGGCTTGAAGCACTAGAGCCTCCCGGTTATTTTCATTCCTGTCTGACCTGTGCCTTCGCCAATCCTCATAACCATCTTTTATAGCTGTTACAGAAAGCACAAAAAGCAGAGGAAAAAGAGAGACTGTTCTCCCAAAAACAGCAAGAGGTGGAAGCTGGTTCAGTGCGGCAATGGCAAGGAAGTATAAATAGGCAACACGGTGAAACTGAATAAAGAGATTCTTAGGCAGAAAGTTTAAAATTGTATACTTGCTGGTTCGAATCTCATTCCCAGAGAACTCAAATTTATGGTTAGTCTTCTTTGGATCATTAATGTGGATCAATCTAGGGTTATCATGGTGCATTACGTTATCTTCCAACTGCATGCTCTTGTGTCTACTCCTCTGAGATTTATTCAACTTATCCTGAACCCGAGATGAAGCCCTAGACAAGTCAAGTTGGGTGGCTCTGGTAGAAGTTGACTGAGATGAAGCCACCGGGGATTGCACTGAAGAAACTTCAAAGGAAGCGATATCATGGTGAGCATCCATGGCTCCACCCCACGAAACCAGGCGTTTCCTCTCTCTCCAAGGACATTCCACTTGAAATTCCCGGTGGAACCGAAGCTCAGCGGAACGGAACCCCTTCCCCTTTGTGGCAGCAGGATGTCGAACAGATTCGTCAGGAAAACCTATCCGTCTAAGTGGGGAAAAATTGGAGTCCAACTCGTCCTCCTTCAAAGTGTACAGAGTGGTAATACTACTGGTATGTTGAGGTGGGTCGTCAAAAGCTGCTGCTGCTGAGGAAGGTGGTGATGAGGTAGTATGACGTTTAAGGAGGTGAGGATGAGAATAAAGGTCAGGTGGCTCAGATGAAGATAGCAATGGTTTGCCCGATGTCATAAATAGCAGTCCTCCAACAGAGACGCATCGGATATGATAAAACTAAAACAACACATTAATATAGCAGAAGATTTAGAGCAGAGATTAACTACAAAATTGACTACCCAATACGTGTGTTCTACACACTACCCCGCCATTTGGTACAAAATCCCGGAGGACACCCATTATTGGGGATGGACTTTCCGTCCAAGTTACCGTCCACATTTGACTTAAAGAAGCAAGGACAAAAAGTACGCAAGGGAGAAACCAACATATTCATGCTCAATGAACCATTGCTTTTATTTTTCCCCCGATTTTCAAATCACATATATCAACTTGCTCGCACAAAAAATCAAGGAAATCGAAAAAAAATTCTTGTTTTATTCCTAAAATTTAAATAAAAGAAATGAGGTTTGTTGTGGAAAAGCAGCAGATACTGAAGCACCCCGGAAAAGGAGGTAGGTTACAAGGGGAAGAAATACACAGAGCTGACCTCTCGGCTGTTGTGGTATTCCTTAGAGTGTGGTGGTTGGTATTCTGGCAAAAGGGAGGTGGGTGTTTAGCAGCAAAGGCAGCGGCAGGGAAAGACGGAAAAAACTCGAAAGTCGAGAAAAATGGGAGATCAAACAGAAGCTGAAAGTTGAGGAGGAACGGAGGAGAAAGGAGTCCAGAAGCGAAAAACAAACCTCCTCCTGCTTGGCGCTTTTCTAAACTGCAAATACCAAAACTGCAAAACAAGAAAGAGACAGAAGAAATTAAATGAAAAAGAAGAGAGAGTATATAACCGTTGTACAAATAAGCAATAACCCCAACAATGCAGATGAATGAGAATTGAGAAGAAGAAGATGATGATACCAAATATGAATTATGGAGAATGCGAATCATAAGAGGCCTGCCAAAACATCTAATCGGAAAAAAAAAAAAGGAGAAGACAAAAAAAGAGAGGGAAGGGTGGGGGGGCAAACCTTGGGGCGTGAAATGATGGAGGGTTTTGTTGGGTTGGGAGAGAGCAGAGAAAGGCGGAATCTGGGAATTGTGGATCTGGATGAAGCGTTAACGGCGTAGGTCGGATGATAGGAATTAATGTAGGTGTAATGGTGGAGATTGAATAAGAGGTGGAGAGAAAGAGGGTGTTTGGGTTGGGGAAGCCATAAATTGGTGCAGCAGCAGAGGAGGAACAACAACAATAACAAGAAGAAGAAGAAGAAGAAGAAGGACAAGCAAACAAAAAGGTCAGATCTGGCCGTCCGATCGATCCCAAAAAATTAGAAAAACAACCCACCGCTCCGTATCAAAGACTCGGGATGATTTTCTCTCCGTCCCTCCTAGGTGCTTGTTTTGTTATTTTGATGGTGCACTGCCACCGACTCCCCCACCCCGGTGCCTCCCACGAGTCCATTTTTCTATTTTCAGTTTTCATTTTTAAAAAAAAAGGGTTATTATCGCTTTAATCACTTTAGTATTTGGTGCTAATTTCCCCTTTAATATCAATTTTTAATCACTCAAGAGTCAAGACTAACGATCAAACTTAACAAAATTTACCAATTCAATTGAAAAGACATATTTAATTCTTAAATTATTATCAATTTATCCTAATAAACCTATTATCAGTTTACCCCTTAAAGTTATTTTTTAGACAATTTATCCTACCATTAAACTAATTTAGCAAATTAAAAATTTTAAAATAAAGTACCTTCCTCTTTGTATAATAAAAATAATATAAAAATTTGGAGTAATTTTTTGCCTTTTAATTATCAAGAAAAAAAGTCAAAATATTAATCTCTTTCTTCTTGACAATCTTATTAATATTAAAAATATAGAAAGATAGGAGAGAGACAAAGAGAGGGAAATAGATCTGAATACTCTTTTTAAAAAATACAAATAAGAAAGAATTCAATATTTTTATTATTTTAAAAAAAATTTGTTTGCCACCTAATTCCAATTCTGATTTCGATGACATTAAAGTAATACAATGATACTAGATTTTTCGTTATTTTCTTTCTTTGCAAACTCTAATTTTCTATCTCATTCTCTTCTATCTCATTTTCTTTTCATAATATTAATAAGTGTGAAAAAAGAAATTTGAGAAAATCCTTTTATTTTTATATTTTTTGAACTCTTAGATTGAAAGAAAAATGAAGAATAACTATTCTAACATTTTTACTTTTAATTATATATAAAAAAAGGTAAATCCATTAAAAAAATTTTGAACATACTAGTTAGGTTAATGATGGTAAAATGCTTCGAAAATAATGTTAGAGAGTAAAGCGATTGTATCACTCTAATTTAAAGGGAGCAAACGATAATAACAATATAGTAAATGCTATAAAATAAAAGGGTATTTTTATTTAAAATTTGTTAATGTGCTGAGTTAAATTATCTATAGAAGTAAAGTGATTAAAAGATAATGTTACGGGATAAATTGATGGTAGTGATATAGTTAAAAGGGGTAAAGTAATAATAATTCAAAAAAAAAAGTTTCCAATAGGAATTACATACAATTGCATAGTAGTACTAATAAGGGAAAATCCTTCAAAATCTATCTTGCATTTTGTTAGATAAATTTTTTTGTCCTTCATTTAAAAAAAATGATAACTTTAGATCCCTTATGAAATTAATTTGGTAAAATTTAATTCCAACCTAAATTTTCAATCATTTTTCATCTTGAATTCATCATGTCACCCACACGTAGTTATAGTTTGTTAGGAGGAAAAAGATTAAATTCTATTCGTAATTAAACAAATTACTCGATTCACATCATCTTTACCCCTAAAAATTATAAAAAGATTACCCTGATTTGGGATCGAATCCAATTCATACTCATTTTTTCCACTAAAACAGCGAGATCTGGTATTTTTGTATATAAAAAATGACTACATATGGGCTATATGGTGATTTCAAACATAAAAGTTATCGAGAGCTTATATTAGAATCAAATTTTGCTGAATTGATGTTGTAAGAGATATAAAAATAACATTTTAAAAATAAATTATAAAAAATCATCTGGTGAAATGTGAGAAACATTTTGAATGATTTTTGCTGCAAATAACTAGTAGCATCATTCTCGTATATATTATAAGATCAAGTTCAAAAAATTTGACAAAAAAAAAGACAAATTCAAAGTTATCATTGGATGATAAAACAAATGTTTTGTTGAATAAATTAAATTAAACTATAGGTCATTGCATCACCCACTTTTAAAATTTATGGCTACTATACTTTGAAGGATTAATAGCATTAAACTCTTTTAAAATTTCTAGATAAAATATAAATTAAAGGGTTAACAGATTAAACACTTTTTAAAATTTGGGGCGATTTGTACGTTGACCCTTAACATTATTATTTTTAACCGCTATCTCTCAGGGATCAACAGTTTGTGAAAATAAATAATTATCATCAGTTGGCAACGGTAGATTATCATAAAAACTATGGCTTTGTTTGGATTGCATTTTTTCTGGACTTTTTGTAGAAAAATTACTGTAATGATTTGATATATATGAAGTAAAAAGGTGATTGAAAAGTGTATCAACGGAAAATATAGTAATTTTTCTTTGAAAATCTGCAATCCAAACACATCCTATAAATCTACCACTATAGAATTTTATATTTAATTTACTTCCTATAATTCGACCACTAAAGAATTTTATACTCAATTTGCTTACTGTAACTCTATCGGTAAAGAATCTTATTCTGGACACCAGAAAAAAAAAAGTCTGATTCTCAATTTATCTCCTAATTAATGGTAAAGGATAAATATCTTATTCTCAATTTATCTCCTAATTTATGTTAAAGAATAAAATTATCCTTAGGCACCGTTTAGATTAAAAGAAATGAAGGGAAAGGAAAATAAAGGACGATAGTGAAAAGGAAAAGAACAGGTAGTAGAGGAAAGTAGTTCTTATCCATTGTACTTGGATTAAATATGGAAGAAGAATGAAAAGAAATATTGAAATTTTGTTTGGGCTGATGAAGGGATAAAAAACGGAAGGAAATGATGAAGTGTTATTTAACTAGAAAAGATAAGAAAAATTAACCTTTCAAACAAATTTATATTATTCCATTGAATTCGGTTTCCTTTTCCTTCATTTTGCCTACTTTTAGATAGAAATGACAATTCAACAAATTGATTAGGTTCTTTGCCCCTCTCTTTGTTCATATCATTCCATTTTTCTCCTCAAAAATCAATCAAAAAAAAATTTTCAATTATTTTTTTACCTAACATATATCATATTGCTACCGTATAAATTTTTTTTTTTTACAAACAAAAACTCTAAACTCAGAATCCAAACGGCTTCTAATCTATTTTATGTTTTCACGATTGAATTTCTAATCATATGTCGTGTTTCGATATTGTCTCAACTGATTTTCAAATTTGTATATATATACTTGCCACGTTTTAATGTACTCTATGCTAATAGTACGAATCTCCAATGAAATTATGGTTTTTATTTAAAAAACTAATAAATTTGTAGAAAAATGTAGGGTAAATAAATGCTAGACTTTATTTTTTTTAAAAAAACTTTTTTCCCCGACCAAATACGCAAATATGCGAGAAGGAAAAAGAAGAAAAAAGCTTTCAAGCATTTTCCCTTGCAATCAACCGAATACTATATTTGTATTTTACCAACTCTTGAGAAGGATTAAAGGGTGTTCTGAAAATGGGATACTGTTCCTAAGGAATCAAACTTCCCCAAGCCCCAGGTGAAATACTGCTCTACGGGCCTACTACAGCCGGTGGTGATGACCCATGAATGCTAACTGATAAGGAGAGATGACCGGGTCCCACTCCCACCCAGAAGGGAAAACAAAATGGTACTCAAAATATAGAGCAGGCGGTCGGGCGGTTGATTTTTGTTTGCTGCGGTGGGTACTACGTGCTAGTCTAGTAGCATGATGGATGGCTGCCGATGGGACTAAAAATCAAATAACCCCTTGCCTCACCCTCCTCCCTGGCTGGCATCCATCTCTACGAGGCTGGCTAATCCAATAGAAGGGAGGAGGAGGAGAAGAAGAAATCACCGTCGTCTAGCCGCCGCCGCCTAGCACCTGAATGAATCCTGACCTGAGGAGGAGGAAAATGAGTGACTGACTCTCGGGTGCTGGTGTTTTAAAGCTGGCCGGCCGGCCGGGACTATACTACTGGATACTCGCACATCTTCAACACCGCTAAATTGCACCGCCACCCCTATCTTGTACATCCGAATCCAAGTAAGGAAACAATTAACTGCCTCGATAGCTTTTACCACCACTCTGTTCCTCCTAGTGTTTTATTTTTTTTTTTTTCCAACAAACGGTATCATGTTATAGATATTAACACTTGACCATACAAGGATTAGTTACAAAAAAGGGGATACTACCCTCAACTCTGTCCTAGCTAAATCAGTCAGCCAAATTGGGAAATCAGTTTCCCATTCAATATCATGTACAAGCTTCACAGCATATTGTGCTAATTGATGGCTGATGTGATTTTCAGTTCTAGGTATAAACACAAAGGAACATTTTTCAAAAGTTAGACTAAGTTCCTGCACATCTTCTAAGATAGTTGCAGTCGTGTAGTCATACTCCTTGCGTTTAGTAATCTGCTCTACCACTGATTTGCAGTCTGTATGGACTATAATTTGTGTCCAACCTGCTTGGGTAGCCATCAGCAGAGCATTTCTCACAGCCCGAGCTTCCACTTCACTTGCCGATCCCTTTCCCTGTGTGACAATTCCTTTTGCTTTCAAAAGCTGCCCTTTCCAATTTCTTGCTATAATCCCTTGTCCAGTCCTGACTCGTTTAGCTGATATCGCTGCATCGGTATACAGCCTTATCTCTTCCTTCCTTGGCCGCACTCTCCTGGTAGGTAAGGCATCATTCAGCTTCCCTGCGATCTCCTTCTGGTCTGTACTCCCTACCTGTTCAAACTCAAGCCATTCCTCCTGTGCTTTCCTTACTATTTTTACTGGATCCTGGTTGGCTTGTTCAAAAAGTTTTTTGTTCCTGGCTTTCCAAATTTGCCAAAGGATATTGATAGTAAGACTAACTCTCTCCTGACCTTGGTTCAGTGCCAGCGATTGTGTGACTTGTTCCCACCATAGCCAAAAGTTATATTGCATACCCAGTAATCCATCCCACCTGACCGGTGCTAGCTTCCACGTTTCCACAGCCTTTTCACAGAAGAAGAACAAATGCTCAATAGTTTCCATATCTTCACCACAGCAACCACATCTGCCTTCCCCTCTATGTAGCCTTTTCGACAGCTGTTCATTGACTGGCAGACAATTTTGTAAGCACTTCCACATGAAGTGTTTGCATTATCACAACTATCAAAGTATCTGTCATCCTCTCTCAAACTTTTCAGCTGACCAACTACTTAGCACTTCCTTCAAAAAAACTACTAGCACTAGGGCGTAACCGTTACTCTTACGTACTTGCGAGTGGGGTATGTAATGTATCTACTTCCCAAAAGGTTTTCGTTCTTGCATTCCGGCAGTATCATGTTAAACGGTCAGAAGTTTGGTGTAACAAAAGGTTTTTCTTTTCTTTTTTTTTTTTCCTGACCTTTTGCGTGAAACTGAAAATTGATACGTTAGGTTTCTACTATTACTATCTTTTTATTTTCCTTTTTGAATTAGGTAAAAACTAGTAGTATATTACTTTCAATTGCTCAACGTATTATCCTTTTATTTAGGGGGAGATTCTATAGTTTCTTTTGAATATTGTATCTTCAAGATAAATTCGCCCAAACTTTAAGACGTAGCCCATTATCACCATTTATTGTACTGATGCAAATTAAATTGAGGAAATGATTTCTTAAAATGGCGATAGAATTTCCTTTTATTACAATACACTAGGTGGAAGTATAACAGACCATTGGATTTGGATCCTGTTTAATAACTCAATTTAGTACTTAAATTTATTGGGTTTAGATTTTAATATATTCAAACGCGTTTGATAACCATAACTAGAGCATTTGAATTAATTAAATGATATCGAATTTTTTAGGCAAAACTTGTTCCAAAAAATTAGTCATGATCTATTCACTTATCACATGATGTGATATACATTTAAATGTATCAAATTTAGTACCTAATAATTCAATAATTTAATTGATTCAGATTTCAAATTTCAATTTTATCAAACACATCTTTAGATTTCCCCATGTGACTTCAAGGGAGAAAAAAATTCAAAATGGTATACTATAATAGTTATTTCTACTTGAATTGTGCATATGATTATATACAAATGACTCACATTTGATCAAAAACAAAAACAAAAATAAATTAGGTGTAGGTGGCGTTGTTCTATGTACTAAAGCATACGTACGACTTCTGGTTTGATTGCGGCTTTTGCATCCCCGATTTTATTTTATTTTATTTTATTTTTGTTTTGGAGAGTCAAATGTTGTTGAATACCACATGTTTCCCATGTGTATTGATGGACAAATGCTTTGGATCTTCTCCGTCTCCATTATGTTCAGTCTAAAGGTTCATTTTCTACGCCTACCAAAAACAAGCATCCCCCTTAAAAAGTTAAAGCTTTAAAGCTAAGCACCCCAAATCCCAGTTGATACCATCACTACCACCATTACCTTTTTTTTTCTTTTACTCTTTTTTTTTTAAAAAAAAAAAATTTATTTAATTTGTCTTTACTTACTAACCATGTAAAGGAAACACTGGTGTATCTTTGCTTTGAAGGTAGCCCAGATGATTCCCTCTTTCATACTTCTCTCTGTTTTCACTACAAGATTAGTTCGTGGTCTACTGGATAAGTATCTTAGACATGCCACACACACATATATATATAGATGTCTTTCCTGTCAATGCTAAAGCACCTCCCACAAAGATTAAAGCTATCGCCTATCAGTCTTGATATCATGGACTGCAGCCAGATTGACATTACATGTGGAACATTATTATTACAGTTGCTTTTTATCCTCTTAATGTATCTTGATACCTCAAATGCCGATTCACCCAAAATGGAAGACAAAATGAATATTCCTTGGCCACATTCTAGCAACAATGATTTTTATTTCGGGTAAGTATCTCGACAACGACGATGGGTGCGTCCAGTAAGCGTAATTCGATTTCATCTTGAGTAGCAACTCCTCAAATGCAGCTTACGCTGCTGTTTTTCTATATTGCTTACTAATGACATGTTTACAGATTACGTAATTTTGGAGTCATGGAAGACGAAGAATGGACACTGGTGCAAAAACATGGAAACCAATTCATGGTCAATGGCCAACCATTTTATGTCAATGGGTTCAACACTTACTGGCTAATGGTCTTTGCTGCGGATCAATCTACGAGACCTAAGGTTACTGAGGTTTTTCAACAGGCATCCTCTGTGGGTCTTACGGTGTGCAGGACTTGGGCTTTCAACAACGGCCAGTGGCGAGCTCTTCAGAAATCGCCGGCTGTTTATGACGAGCAAGTGTTCCAGGTACGTCCCTCTATCTCAATTTCACAGTGTCTCATGAGTTAGCTTTTTTGAGTTGACAAAGGACAAGAGTCCCCTGACCGTGATTTCCATCTGAAAGAATTATCTGCATTGCTGCGTCGGTCTCTGTACGTGCATGGTGCAAGTAAACCACGTTACATTAAAGATTGTAACGGTTGACTAACATGATGATATGGATACCAAGATGAATACAACAGATACGTTAAGCTATTCCTCGATTTACAGGCTTTGGATTTCGTCATAAGTGAGGCAAAAAAGTTCAAAATCAGGCTTATATTGTCATTGGTAAACAATTGGGAAGCTTACGGAGGCAAATCCCAGTATGTCAAATGGGGTAAAGCTGCTGGCCTAAACTTGACTTCTGATGATGACTTCTTCTCCCATCCAACTCTCAAAGGCTACTATAAGGCTCATGTCAAGGTTTGTACTTTGCTTTGATAGCTTTCTTGCATTTCGTTCACTAAGCTTGAATTTTAATGACTAGTTTCGCGTTCATTCATCGTTGACACTGCAGCACAGTCTTCGAACAATTGCTGTTATTGTACCAAGTCTAACATTTTCCCCTTTTCCCTCACTCCTAAATCTTTCTCTGGATACTTGGGCGCCTGGAGATGGTTCTTGATAGAGCCAACACTGTCAACAACATAACCTACAAGGATGATCCAACGATATTTGCTTGGGAACTCATGAATGAGCCGAGATGTGAATCAGATCCCTCTGGCAACAAGCTGCAGGTTTGTATCTCTGAACAGCTAAATTCATGAGAAACTTGTCACCATGCTATGTACACCTGAAACTAAATTAAATGCGCATGGTATATAAACCTAAAACATCTCACCGTACAAGGGTAGCTAGCTCTACCTCTTATCTTTCCATAGCATCTTTCCGAACTCCATTTACGCAGCATAATGTGATGAATGATATCTGTCATACAAGTTATCCTGAGTTATTCAGGTGGCAACGTACATGTAGGCTTGGTTAGAAGAAATGGCGGTCTATGTGAAGAGCGTTGATCCAAAGCATTTGTTGGAGATTGGAGTGGAAGGTTTCTATGGTCCCTCGACGCTCAACAGGGTTCAGCTCAACCCAAATACCTATGCTCAACAAGTTGGAACTGATTTTATAAGGAATCATCAAATTCTCGGGGTTGATTTTGCTTCTGTTCACATATATCCAGACTCTTGGTTAGTATATTCATTCATGGGAAACTGCTTTAATATTTTGTCACTCCTCCTCTTATATTCATTCTAGTGGTTTTTTACTTTTTTTTTTTTTTTTTTGGATGAGAAAGCTTTTTATGACACAATTACATCTAAAAGACATCTGGCTTATGTATGTTCAAGTTGTGGATGCATAGATTACACACTAGGGTGTTCTTTTATGGGTTGTCATGAGAGCTCCTATTAAGAACGTACTAAATGATATCGACACTGTATGAAGGATTTCGCAATCGATCTCTGATGCCCACATAGACTTCACCAAAGCATGGATGCAATCTCACATTGATGATGCTGAGAACTTCCTTGGTATGCCTGTTGTGTTTGCGGAATTTGGTGTATCAGCAAAAGATCCCGGCTACAATTCTACATACCGGGACACCTTCCTCAATACTGTGTACAAGACCCTCTTGAACTCGACAAAAATGGGGGGAGGCGGCGGCGGGAGCCTGCTCTGGCAATTGTTTCCCGAAGGGACAGATTACATGGATGACGGATACGCGGTGGTGCTTTCAAAGTCTCCTTCAACGTCGGATATCGTATCTCTTCAGTCGAGAAGGCTAAAGACCTTCAACTCCTTGTGTTCTTGGAGATGCCACTGGGGTTGCAAGAAGCACCAGCACCACCCGGGGACGGGGACTACCCTCCTGTATCATGATGAGCTTTAATTAATCTTTAGCTACTAGTACCACCTACCTACCTACTCCTGCCTTCGTGTTCTGTTCTCTTCCAAATTACTACTACATTAAAAAAAAAAAAAAAAAAAAATTAAGGTGGTGGTACTGCTCTATTTTGTACTGTATATGGTAAACCACCACATTTTGATTTTATCCCATTCCCTGAAAATTATGTTTGAGAAATTAATACTACTACTAATAATGTTCTAGCCATACTAGCATATGACTGTTCTTGCATGAGAATATTGTACGTAGTAACCCTTGAACTGCTCTTATATGGAGTACCATAACACCGTACTACCATGTCCATGTCCAAACAATTTGACAGTTTGTTTGCTCAAAACCGTCTTTGATTCTCATCTACGGTGGTGAACTTCGACCCTTCAACGGAACCTCAAATTCACCATCTACTTCCCTCCAACCAAATGACCGCATGGATTTGCTACAAGCTACAGAATCATGGACATGGTAAGTGTTGACTTTCGGTTTCTTTATTACAACATTTTCTTGATGAAATAGTAACATGCTAAAATGGTAATTGCTGGTGATCGCATTGAAGTGAAAAGTTTCTGTATTGATCTCTGGATTGTCTTCAGCCAACAAAGGCAACTATGCGGGATTCAGGAAATATATCTACAGCAATAGTACATAAAGAATGGTTATTTGCCAGAGGATATATCTTTCGGCAATATTTTCCAAGTTTTTGCTCTTCTCTTTCTTTTAGGCACAAACAAAAGGATTTAGCAGCAGACAGACGAATTTTCTGCCCTGTTAGAAAGTCAAGACTACTCATTCGAGTTTAACACGCTGACTTCTGCAATTTCTGGCGAGCAAGACATTTTTAGCTGCAAGTATCTCAAGGAGGAACTGCTGGTATGCTAACAAATTGGAGAACAATAAACTTTACATGCATAGAAGCTCCTCGTGAATTTTTCTTTCCTCCCACTGCGTAGAGACAGATTAGAACTATATATAACTCGTAAAATCCCAATTAAGTGCATATCAAAATTCCAGTTCCTCTTAAGCAATATCAACGTATGAATTAGTATTAAGAAAATAGCCTAACACAGGAAGATGAATAATAATAGTAAACTTTAAAAACAGAAAATAGTAAACCTGGTACAGAAAATAACACTACAAAGCCAAATTAGAGCCCTTCTAATTAATACTTAGATAAAACAGAAGAAATTAAGAAGTGGGTGATTGAGAATATGCAAAGCTTACCATGATCAAAGGTTTCCTACTTGAAAGCAAATTTCGAAAGAACTGCAGCAGCTTGATCACCGCCTAGCAAAAAATATGGATGCCTCAGGGCTGCTCCAGCAGATAATCGACCCCTTCTCAGGAAACCTCTCTCTGAAATAAGCTTTGTGGCCAAGTCCCAACCTCTACCAGAATCAAGCTCGAGAATGCTAAGGTCAGGCCTCATCCTTGTTCTCTCCCTCCACTTTCTCAGGTCATATCCCACTGTCTTCAATTCTAGATTAAAATTTTTTAAACCTAATGTGGACCTTAAGGACGGTATTGCCATTTGTAAGAATACAATTCCAGCAGAGTACATGTCAAAGAGATCAGGACTGTTTAACTGCAGCAAGAGTAAAAAACCACTTCAGTGTGTCACATGGAGCCTTTTTAAGAACCAAGCTGAAGTTTTCTCATTGTGTAGGATCTGCATAACTTGGTCACACATTCCAGTTAATGATGTTATACCAACTCTAAATTCCTTACAAAAGTCTAGAATCCAATTTAGTATGCTTGACCATAATAAAACTACTAAAATGCAATCTATAACTCAATGCGTCAAATGCGATTAATTACTGGAAATGAACGGCTTAAATTTATTAATAATAGCATGAGTACTTTCTTTTCAACAAAAATCAGTTGATCTTCCACTTGAAGGAAAGAATACAAGAGACACCTGCCACAGAACTGGAGAAAGAAAGGCAGCAATTGGCTCCGGTGGTGGATTTGGAGTTTCCTCTGGCATTACATATAGCTCAGGAGGGCAATAATCAGGATCAAGTAGTCCGCGATCGGGCATGTAATTTTTTCCAATTCGAAGGTCTGTTGCTGCTCCAAAGTCTATGAGTTTGATTTTCCCCTTTTTTGTAACTACTAAGTTGGAGGGCTTTACATCCCGGTGTACTATACCAGTGTCATGGATTTTCTTGAGGGAAGTAATGATTTGGCGCATTATCTGTTTGATGATCAGTGCATTGCGTTCAACAGACTCTAATCCTTGCAAGGCACGGCCAAACATAACAGATTCCAGGTTCAAAGGGAAGCCACGATCTTGCATGTAATCAGCAAGGTCAAGATCACCCTATTGCATGACATTCCCATAGGATCAAAACGTATATCATTAGATATCAGAATGCAACTCAGTTAACAATGCAAGGCACAGCATGCAAACTAGCTGTTTAATATGACTTCCAATAAGACCATCAATGGCATATTGTAAATAATTAAGAATAATACATGGAAAATGACGATTTTCAAGCTTCGTCTTGTTAATCCATAGTTTCCAAGCTTTACTCGTACAGGGCACTGTGATTAGCAAGAGTTTCAAAAATTCAATGCATCCTATCTTTCTTATTTAAGTCATAAGATTATGATGATGTCCAAGCTGGCCATCATAGCCTGTACAACTGCTTTATTAGTCGTCCTTTATTTATTTATATATTTATTTTTGCAGACTCAAATTCAAGAAATCGCAAGGAAAAATGAAAAAAAGAAAGATTGTTCACCTAAACAAAAAAGGAAAAAATGAAAAACAATTAAGAAAAAAACAGAAAGAGAATAAGAGGTTGTGAAAAACAAAAGAAGACTCTCCACAAAAACCGAAAAAAGAGAAACGATGTTGATCTCAGGCATAGGCGAATAACATCAAAAACTGAGAATTATCCTTAGATCTCCTGAAAAATAACTTGAGGAAAAAGCTCAAGTACCTCAAACTTCCATACGAGCCATTTCTCACCCTTGGTAAATTGAGAATTAGTTTTGTCAGAAATAAAACTTCCGAGAAATTCTGCACACGTCTCAGGAGCTGCTCTTGACAACCTGTAATTAAACCACTCTTCAAAATCACCACATTCTGCAGCACCTTGAACTCCAAGTTTTACCTGTTATAACATAAAAAGTTCACAGGCGAAAGCCAAATAGAAAACCAGCCATAGAGGAGGCTGGACTTCTTCTCCAAGTCCAAGCACATCGTGAAACCAAAATAGACTGACAAAAAAGAAGAAAAAGAAACGGTGATGGGAAAAAAAATAAAAAATGGAAGGAACAGAATGTAGTGTGGTAAGTTAGTGCGTGACAATACAATAAAATACACAATTCAGAACCTGAGAAAAGCAATGCCAAAGTCAGGGAATTTTTCTTTTAAATCACCTTTTTGAGAATGACCTTGTCTTTGAACCTTTGATCGTTCTCGAGAGCCCTCAGAGTTGCTCTCGTCAAAACCCTGTCAGCATCCACTGACACGTTCTTAGGAACAACGAGACCAGAGTAAACAACACCGAAGGAACCTTCTCCGAGCCTTTCCCCAATCAAGAAATCGGTCCGCTTCAGTCTCCTTCTCCCAGTCAGGGTATCAAAGCCCAACTGCAGAGGAGCTAGAAGGTAGGAATCGAAGGCACCAAGGAGAACGCCCGGCCTGGCCGTCAAATATAGCCAAGCAAAGCCAGCGAAGAGCAAGACTCCCGATTGGTGGCCTTGGGGCAGCTCGGCGATCAAACTTTGGAGCAGGGGCAGAACAGGTTGAAGAGCAGGGAATTGAAGTGACGAGGACTGGTCGAGGTCAAGGTAGTCTAACGGTAGCGGTAGTGGCAAACTAGAACTAGAAGTAGCATCGGAAATGCCATCCAAGAATGCGCTGCACCTCAAACTAGTATTTCTCGTTAACGAGCTGCAGAGAGAGGCAGTCTGGGAGGTTGGATTTGATGGAGAAAAGCAAATGAATTTGGGATCCTGCTGGGAAAGTAGTGCTGTTGGAGCAGTCGGGGAGAGCAGAGAAGCCATCATCTCATCACCACACTACCGTAAAATGTAAACTGCTTACCCCGTCGGTCACAGCGGACAGACAGAGCTTTGCTTTGCAGTAACACAAATCCCACTCCTGCGGCAATGAAAGAAGGGCAGCAGAGGCAGCACCTTGGCCACGTGGCCCTCCCAGGTTTATCCTCTTGTTGTGGTTTGGCTTCTGACTTTCAGATCCAGTGGAGCGGAGGCAAACAAAAGAAATGCTAATAACAATTACTATTTGAAAATCAATTTTCTCTATGCCTTGTTTGGATATGTTTTTATCTGCATAAGTGCATCATAGATACATTTTTCAACTAATTTTTTCTTAATCTTTTCAACCATCTTTTTTTTATCTTATGTATATCATATATATATATATATATGCTAGGGTGTTTTTGAAAAAAATTATTCCAAATAATTGCTTTTAGGTCTGATGGCACAATGGATTGCAGGGAATGAAGCAATAAGTGACAGTTGAAGTTGATAACAAATAAGATGTTTGGTTGCTACAAGTCATATAAAGCATTAGTATTAAGGTAGCGGAATTTACGATTCTATGAAGAGTTTTTTTTCCCCCTTGAAATTCATTTGAGGTGGTTGAAATTACCACCTTCTTTTGAATAATGAATAATCTGGTGCTTGTTTTGGTGTACACATAGAATTAATGTGAATACCCGTATTACGTACAGTGCTGGCATTATTGAAAAAATGAAAATAAAAGGGTGAATTATAAAAGATTCAAAAATTGTATCAATACAATTAAAATGTAATATCTGTCTAACAATAGTTTGAAATATGATAGAATGTGTATATCATTCAAGAACTACATTTTTTCGGAAGATAGATTCTAAAAAATTAGAAATTTATATTAGAAAATGAATGTAATTGAATGTTGTTAAAATGAAATACTTACAAATATTATGCATTTGATTTGATAATCTTGCATAAAGATGTGAATACTCTTCACACAAATTAACTTTTAGTACGAAAGCCAAAATTGGTGATTTAATTAATTCTTTTGAATTTTGTGTAGTACATACTACAAATGAAACTATGTTAACAGGCACAACGTCTTGCGTAGCAGGAACAAATTCTTCAGATGAGTCTGCATAATTTTAATAATTCATAAACATTATATCATGAACAGTAAATATAGAAATAAGGTGTATAAGTTACATTAATAGAGTTGAAAATGCAATGGTAATGGTTAATTATGTGTTAAAAATAAGCGAGAAACCTAGATCTTACCATCGTTATGGCCATCACATGGCGATGTTGGTGTGAGGGAAACTTCAATAATTGCTGAGCCATTATGTATTCCATCTAATATTATGTGATGTAAACAGTTGATTTAGCAAGATAATACAGCAAAAAATGTAATTGCAAGATGAGTTTGACGATATAAGAAACTTTATATTTACCATGATCATGCTGGATCGCTGGTGATATCGATGGCCGTCAAACTTGATGAGAGATAGAATTTTCATTTCTTTGATATAGAAATGCATTAAAATATATATTAAACTAACAATCGATAGTTTTTGTATTTGTTTTAAATGTAATGATGTGATACATTGTATGAGAATTGTTAACCAAAGAAATACAATAGTTAAATAAGAAATAACATTAACGGTCAGATGTACAATTGTATTCTAATCAAATGAAAATTAAGTACCAATAGAATTGTTGTTAACACCTACAGTTAATACAATAATTCTTATATAAATATATTTTGGTACATGTAGTAATTTGAAATACATGGCTAAAACCACTAACATGCACGTGGCTAGTAGTTTGTTTTTGTATATTATTGTCGGGGTATATATTTTAGAAAAAATTAAATTTGAAAGGTTAAAAGATAAATTATGAAGGTTAACTAATATATTTCTTTTATTCCCGTGTGTTAGAAGTGAATTAGTTATATTAGTTACATGGAAAAAGGTTAAAATTTTAAAAAGTACTATTTTAGTATCTAATCTATATTGTATTTATGTACCTTATCTAAACCCTTAACATATATTAAAAAATTGAACAAAGCTCCAATAAAAAAAGATCTAAAGAAATACTAAAAGCACAACAAACATCAAATGTTACTCTTCCCTACCTCTCGTGCAATACATATAGATGTAAAAATATATTTCATTAATTTTTTATCCGGATAGAAACTATTCATTAATGTTTATGCTCAGACTTCAAGGACATATTCTTAACTATCGTTGAAAATATATGTTACATAAGAATATACGTTTGAAAGTTTTGAAAACTAAAAATTGCAGCCTTGGGTGCAGAAGCTATAAACACCAGGCAACGATTTAATGTTTAACTAAAATGAAAAAGTTTTACTTGGTTGTAGTGTTTTAAATGAGGGATTGGTGTCTTCATAATCTGAGCTGAAGCGTCTTCTCGCTTCCTGAAGTGATAGGTAATAGGAAAGAAGTATGTATGTATACTCCTCGTAAAGTTGAACAATAACTATAAATAACATAATTAAAATTGGACGAAAATGCACTTAAAAATTTGCTGAATTTGTTACATATTCTTTTTCTTTTCTTCATATGCATTTTAAGATGCTAATATTTCCAATCATTGTGTTTGCAACCATGCGTAAACCATTTTAAGTTATAAAAGCCGTCTATTGCGTCAGCCATACATTTTCCTTTTTTAATGTTTTTCTTATTCACTCGTTAGTTTTTATAGTTTCCTTACTAGATGATCAAGAAACGTGAGGGAAATGTGGGAAAAATGTGAGCATGATTATAGGATTTGTAGTATATTCAATAACTTGATATTCAAATCACCGATGAGGTAAAGTTTGTCTAAATAAGTTTTACAGTGCCTTAATTCCTTGCAAAAAAAAAAAAGCTAAATAGTCCTAATCAGTATCGCAAGTTATGACAACGTGCCAGTGGCATCTAGGCCTAATTTTTTTTTTGGGTCAAAAGATAGTCATAATTGGTTCTGTTGTTTCTTGATCATGTTGTATGCTTCCGAATTAAAATTGTATTAAAATAGTATGTGAATGAGCATTTGTCTTTAATTAAGGAGTAAAAAGGATTTAAAGTATAAATAAATACAAAAGTATAAAAAGGATTATATATTTAACGATTTATGAAGTAGATTATGAGAAAGTTTTAAATTTTAAATTTGACTGGTGATAGGGTTGGTTATAACCCACTACTTTTTATGTATTAAAATAAATACAAAAATCTATAACCCACTACTTGTTCCTTTCTTGGGATTTTTGTTAGGGGTTAAATATAGTAAACCCCTTAACTTTACATTTAGCTGCACTTTACCCTCTCAACTTTACATTTAGTTGCACATTTGATTTTTTTGAAACGTGATTATAATTTGCAAAGTTCATTTGTAGGGGTGGTTATAGGGTTTGTTTGCTGATAAATATTTCTTAATTATAAAAATGTAACATTGTATTAAAATAGCATACGAATGAGCATTTGTCTTTAATTAAGGAGTAAAAAAGATTTAAAGTATAAATAAAAAACTATAAACAGTTTATGAAGTAGATAGTGGGAATGTTTTAAATTTTAAATTTAATTAGTGATAGGGTTGGTTATAACCCACTACTTTTTATGTATTAAAATAAATACAAAAATCTAGAAAAAAATAAGAAGTTTGGAAGCCATTGAGAGGGTCTCTACTAAAATCCCTTCTGTAATACATATAGATATAGATAATTTGCTACTGGCACGACGTTATAAGGGACATTTTGCAATTAAGCTCCGATTTTATAACAAATATACCTGGGATAGTTTCTATGGTTCACAAGATAATTAGAGGCTAATTTGCCCAAAGCACCAAGCGGGTGCTATTTGCATTCTAGTACTACCCTTATCCTTTAAAAAAAGAAAAAAGGAAGAAAAAAAAAGTACCACTTCTCCCCACTTTCAAAGAAAAAATAAAATAGGAAAAATCGTTTAAAATGTCATCAAATGAATGAATTTTTTCGTCATTCACTTTTAAAATGACAACCATACATCCCTTATAAAATAAAATCCGAAAAATTTGATTCCATTAAATCCATTTGAATTGCTATTTTGTTAAAAGTTTTTGTAGAAAAATATACTGTAACAATTTGATATATGTAAAATAAAAAAAGATTAAAATATGTATTTGAGGGTGCTCACCTCGGCAGTACCTTGTGGCCGAGGTGACCTCGTTTCGTTTCCTACACAAACACAGCCGTTCCCCGATCCGGACCCTGAGCTAGGCTCGGTCCATGGTCTCCTCGGTGGATGACCTCTGCACCCCAGGCTACCACCTCGGCTAAACGCTGATGATGTCAACACCCCTGACAACGCCCAGGACCAGTGCTTTATCTGAAAAGCACTGGGTGATCTTAATGACTACTGCGCAGGACCCCCGTCATCCAACCCAGCCGGCTACAATGTCAGAGTCAGGCCTCCTGGCAGGGAACAGAGCCGTAATGTCAGGACATGGGTCCCACCAGCATGAACCCTCCGTCCTGACATCTACTCCCCCTCTATAAATACCCCTCCTGTACATTTCGCAAGTAAGCATACTGTTCATTTGACAATACTACTGCTTTTCTCTCGTTCTCATACTAACTTGAGTATCGGAGTGATCCCAGGGGAGAAGCCCCGCCATTCACTTCGGACACACAGATACAGCTCACCTCAGAAGAGGCTGATTTCGGCTGGTTCAACCGCCTCCCAAAAATCACCTCCTCAATTGGCGTCGTCTGTGGGAACGAGATTACTGCTAAAATGAGATCCACGCGTTCCAGAAGCGGAAGAGTTCCCTCAACTGGGGCTCGGCAGACATCCGGAGCCCAGCAAGATCGTATCTCTGAGGAACAAGGGTCCCCAAGGACCCAGCCCCACAATGAAGACGCCATCGCCAAGATGGCCGAATTCGTGGCTGATAACCCGAACATTTTCGAAGAACTGGGGAGGTACTTCAAGAGGCAGGGGAAGGAAAAAGCTGAATCCTCCAAGAGGAGACCGACGAAGTCCCCTGAAGTACCTTCCGGCGAAGACTCCGATGAGGGGCACCTCTCTCGGAGCACTTCCAGGCGCGCCTCCTACAAAGCGACATCTAAAATCGCTTCCATCTCCCGGGCGTTTTTCCGGGGCCTCCTGGGAAAACGAGCTGAGGACCCACCTCGGCGTCCCGGAGGCT